TCACAAACGACCTGATCCCAACAACCAGTCTATGCGTACCACACGCGATCCGACCAAAGTGAGTCCCAGCGTTCCACGCTTGATCTAGATCTGACAGTCACTCTACGCGTACCAAATACAACCTGGTCCCAACAATCAGACCACGCATACCACAATCGGCTTGGGTCTGTAGTGGTCGTTGCCGGCCGACGCCCTCCATTGCTTTGTCTGGCGTCCAAGGCCAGCTGCCTCAAAGTCATCCAATAACTCAGTCAGCGCTTACAGACGCGCTGACCTGCAGAGACTTGACCTACTTCCACTAGGACACACACACGTGCGTCTAGGTTCTCGCGGCTGCCCAAGCACCACTCGAACATGTCTCTTTTCCCTACCATCGGCCGCCAGACATCACTTAGGACCACGGCGCTCCAGCGGAATGACGCGTGCGCCGAAGTCAAATAGTCTTTCCGTCTATTCTTCGTTCCTTTGTATACACAATAAACCATGCCTTCTATTCTGGCCTCCACTGACTTCTTCTCTACTAAGTAACCATGGTCTGAAGATCGCAGTTGCTAAGGTTTAACTTGCTTAACCCCCTGCGATAGGTCTAACAACCAGTCTATGCGTACCGCACAAGATCCAATCCCAAATCAGTCTACGCGTTCCACACCTGATCTGGATCCAACAATCACTCTACGTGTAGCACACACGACCTGGTCCCAAGAACCCGTCTACGCGTACCACACGCGACCTGCTGTCCGCAGCCTGACAGATCAAGCTACTCCGCTAGGTTACAACCTCTTTATGCGTCTTCACAGATTCTGTAGCGGTCAAAGGTGTGCGATCTACTATAACCACTACACTAAGAGTATTCTGTCTGATGGTAGAAAGGCAGTCAGCTTTGAAGAATATGTTCTTTGGGTTAAAAAGGTAACTTTACTTAGTGAATTTTCGAGTCTGGTGCCCCAGCTCGTGTTAGTACTAGTAGGAAATGTGCAATTAACAACTAAAATTTCAAAATTTCGGTAAAAAATCAACAGTTA